AGCAAAGGCTTGGAGGCAGGAAGTGGGAGGAGACAGAGCTGACAGGGATGAAGATGGGAACATGAGGGACGGGGAGCTTATGTGATGGGATGTGGAGAAAAACAGCTTTCTCTCCATCAGCTCCCTCCTCTCCCCAGACCAGCGTTCAGAGTCTGGCTCCAAGCAGGAGCCTCGGGCCAAGCCCTTCCTTTGGGGGGCCCCACAGATTGCCCCCCACGGCTGCCAAACCCCCTCACCTCCTGCCCCAGACCAGTCCACAGGAAGGACACGCAGAGGCCAGCGCACGCTCCCCACACGGCCTGAGATAAATATTTCCCGGGAAACGGAACTTGTTCTCTCTGTGTTTACAGCCAGGGGCCAGGCAGGGTGGTGGGGGAGGTGGCAGCTGAAGGAAGCTCGTCCTTGGGCCCGCAGTATCTAGCCCAGCACTGCCTCAGACCTGCTGTGCGCCTCTGGGCCAGTCCCTGCCTCTCTCTGAGCCTCCATTCCAAGCCCTCAAGGGGCTGGACCTCCCTGGACCTTGACCTGCCCACAAGCCTGGCCCAGCCTCAGCTTATGTCTTCTCTGGCTGTGAGTCCCTGGTGCTTGACGCCTCCCCCTCCAGACTAGGCTTCTCTGATGGCGGGACCTGTGTCTGCCCATCTCTGCCTTGTCCTCAGTCAGTCAGGCGCGTGGACAGATGGATGGACAGACAGACAGAGAGACAGGCTGGCGTGGCAGCTGAGACTGCCTCCCTGGCCCCAAGTCCCTGCACACTCCGGGCCTGTACAGTCCAACAGGTGGGCACAGACAGATGGCGGGGCCTCAGGGCCCCCATGGATGCCAGATGCTACAGCCAACTTGTTGGCAGCAGCTCCCCCGGGGCCATGGGGCATCATCGAGACCACTTGCTCCTGATGTGCAGAATCCAGGAGGAGGCTAGCACATCTGCCAGTTAGGAGCACTCACTCAAGACTTTTAAATATGGGCCTGAAAAGTGCAGCCTGCCCCGGCCCTTCCAGCCCCAGCCCAGTGCTCCCTGTCCAGGAACCTGGGCACCACTGACATGTCGGGCCTCCTCCTGTGGAGACCGGGGGGCATCCTGCCTGTAGGCCCTTGCACAAGCTGCTCCTTTCACCCACGAAGCCTTTCTCAACCCCTACGACAATCTTACCTTATGGGACCACCCTGGATCCTGCCCCTGCCTACCACCATCCCCCACACTGGGCCAACTTATTCACCATTGGTGGCCTCAGCTTGACCCCAGACTCTGAGACCAAGCATTGCTCAGCCCAGGACCCAGGGGCAGAGAGGTTTTGGAGCTGGGTTCTCAGCACCGAGCCAGCCTCCTACAGCCCCGTCTGGGGCTGAGTCCTTGTTCCAGGCTCCTCTGTCTGCTTGTTCCCAGTCCTGTGCTGGTCCTTGTTGTCCTCTCAGAAGCTGACCACATGGACCTCTCTGACTATCCAGCTGATCTCTGGCCTCATCAGTCAGTGGCCTTGACCCTCCCCATCCTTCAAAGTTCCAAAGTTCTGCCTCCTCCAGGAAGTCTCCAAGACTGCCCCTAATCTTCTTGGAATCACTCCAACTCTGTCACAGACATTCTCATTCCATCAAGAAGAATTTATTGAGCACCTACTATATACCAGGCCTATGCCAGGCCCCACGTGGGCCCAGGAGAGACAAAGGAGGCTCAGCCTTGGTTCCTATCCCCCAGGTGTTTACAACAAAAGGATACACAACCACATGAAGTAACAAGTTACCTGACTGTAAGCTCAGGGAAGCCTGGGAGCTGTGAGTGCCCAGAAGAGGGAAGACTGACTAGACCGGAGGTGGAGGAAGCAATCTGAGAGGACTTCACAGAAGAGGTGACATCTAATTGGGGGCTTGAAAACAGAGTAGGTGGAGGAAAAAGGGAAAGGCTCTCCAGAGAGCGGGGTTAGTACTAGCAAAGGCAGGGAGGCCAGGAAGAGCCAGCGTCTGTGGGCAAGGGGTGGACACGAGAGGCCCAGCAGGCAGGGTCAGCAATGCCATGCCAAGGAGGTGGCCTTTACTTATCCCATGGGCAATGACAGAGGAGCCAGTGCTGGGCAGCGCGTTAGGGTGCTTAGTATGGGTACCTGTGCCCTTGACCATGTCTGCCTCTTCCCCAAGCCCCACCCCAGCAGGAACTCCCAAGCTCCCAGCTGGGCCCTGAGATCCAGCACAGAGAGGGCACGGACCCAGTGTACTCACTTCACTGCTTGAACTGCCTCAGCCCCGACATCCAGAGAGAGTGATGGCCTTGGCCCTGAAAGAGCATTCCTGGCCCTGAAGGAGGATTCCAGGCTGAGCCTGAGCGGCTGGCACAGGGGCCAGGGAGCCATCCCAAGAGAGTGTGCTGCACAGAGGCCCGCTGGGCAGGGATGGGTGCTGGCAGCCCTGCTCTGCTGGCTCCCCCACTGCCAGTGCCAGGAGAGTGTGCCGTGCCCACAGAACCTCCATGAACCCCGGCCCAGCCCCGCAGTGCACCCTGTCTCACGGGTGCACAGCCTCGTCCTGGCTCCAAGGGTCTCATCCTTGAGGGAAGCAGGAAGGGTGCCACCTCCCTCCAAGGACCTGCTTTGGGCCAGGCACCTCACATGTACTGTCTTTGCAACTTCTCCCAACAGCTCTGCTGTGATTACGTCCAATAATTGCAATTACATCCAGTAAGGATGGAGCTTCTTAGCCCCTTCTGACAGGTGAGGACACTGATGCTCAGGCTGGCTAAGGGGCTGGCCCAAGGTCATACCTAGGAAGTGGTGAAGCCGGGACTTGAACTCATGCCCATCCGACCCCATGGTCTGTCCACTAGCTGAGGCCATCGTGTCTCCCTTGCCTGCACCCTGACAGGAGGGCTCCTCAGCAGTCTCCCCATCCCTTTCTCTCTTTCCCTCCAGCTGGCCCTATAGTCCGAGCAACACCCTCAAGTTCCTACTCTCTCCAGTCCTGTCCTTTCTGGGCTGGGGAGTCCCCCAGGGCGCCAACGGGTCTCTCTTCAGCGGGGCTGAACGTGGGCCTGGGCACTCAGGAGGGGGTGCTACTGAACCCAGAAATAGAGCAGGCTCTGTCAAGAGGCCAGGCAGACACCAGCCATCTTCGGGTGGGTGTGGGTTTGGGCGACAGGACAGAGCTGAGAGCTGAGGGGTTCAGAGCCTGAGATCCTCGGTCTGAGGGAGGGGGCAGCAGGACGCAGGCAGAGGAAAGGCGGAGAGAATAGAGGGAGGAAATGGGGGTGATCCAAGGAGGCTCATGGGAGGGTGAGGCTTGGTGGCTGGGAAGGAGGGGCAGAACTTGAACTTGCAGGAGCAGGGCCAAGGGCCTAGGCAGAGGGGGCTGTGCACAGAGGCACAGACAAGGAGCCTGGGCCTGGCTCCGTCCCTCGGGGCCCAGCATCCATCGCCCAGAAGGGTCTCAGCTTCTCCAAAGCCCTTTCCCTCCTGGCTTCCCGGGAGGATGACAAATCCAGTCTTTCCTGGCAGGTGGCAGCGGCTGCTGAGACACTGCTGGCTCCCAGGAACGCCATCTGTCCCAGCTCCGGGGGGAGCCCCCGCCCCATGAGGAATTCCATGGCCATAAATAAATTAATAATGACTTTCCAGGCCCCCCCTCCCCCCCACTGGTAGGGACATTCTCAGGGCTCGGCCCACGTCCCAGCAGTGAGCCCATGCTGAGCGCCCTGTGCACCAGGCCCTGTGTGGGTGGCTCCTTTCCCATCTTACCCGAGGGCAGGGAGAGAGTGAGGGTTGGGCACGAGACACATCTGGGCTCCACTCTCAGCTCTGCCCCTGATGCACTCCCTGCGTGACCCCGCTGGGCCTCAGCTTCCCCAATGTAAACGGAGAATAAGAACAGCCCTGCCTTAGAGGGAGGTTGTGAGGATTAAACAGGGGAGCTCCTGGCACAGGGGAGGGGCTGGCACAGCAGCAGGCTCCCCTTCCTCTCGGCCAGGCCTGGGCACGAGAGCGGGCTCATGCCAGTCTGGCCGTGTGGTCCCATTTTACACGCCTCCTCTGTGCCAATCTTCCCTGTCCCCAGCCCATCCCATCTGCTGCTCAAGGCCCCTCTGAGCACTGAAGATTCCTACGAGGCACCCTAAAGGCACGGTCAGGGGCTGGGGATGGCACCCCTCATCTTAAAGGAAATGCACTTACTGAGTCCTCACCAGGCACCCTCTGGAGGGCAGTGGGAGACTCAGGAATGAAAAGGGCACAGTCCTCTGGCTCAGGGAGCTCAGAGTTCAGAGGGGAAGACATACAGAGTCACCTAACAGAGAAAACAGGGTGCCCATGGCACAGACAGCAGAATGCCCAGCATCTGACTGCCAGGGCAGGAGAGCTCAGAGGAGGGAGTGCAAGGGGCAAGGAGGGCTTCCCGGAGGAGGAGAGGCTAGAGCTGAGCCCAGAGGGATTTGGGAAGCTAAGCGAGGAAGAGGCCAGCAGGAGCGGGTCTGGGAGGCGGAACGGATGAAGGGGGGACTGTGGCCTGGCTGGGGCTGCAGGGGGAGCACGGGGATGGGGAGCACAGGGATGGGGAGCAAGGAGAATTTTTGAGCAAGTGACAAGTTCAGGTTTGCGTGTTAGAAAGATCCTTCTGGCAGCCACATGGGGGGGGCAACTGAAAGCAGCCAGCCAGTGAGCCGTCCAGGGGAAAGATGACCAGGACTGGGACAGGCAGCAGGAATGGAGAGGAGGAGAGGAATTCATGACATACTTAGGGGAGAGAATTGTTGGATGAGGGTGCGGAGGACAAGGGAGGAGTTTGAAATGACTCCCAAGTGACTTGGGAGGAGGACAAATCTTCAGGGGGAGGGAACCCCAGGCAGGAATAGGGTGGGGAAGGCAGTCTCAGTGTGGGGTGACCCTAGGCTGGAGGGGATGGGGCAGGGATTCGGCTCCAGCCTCCCAGTCCTCCCAGGGGTGGGGGCAATGCTCAGACTGACCCCCAGCCTGTGCCCCCACCCCCCAAGCCCACCCACTCCTCCCTCCGCTGACTCTCACCTCCAGTTGGCCGTCTCTACTCCCCGGGGGCACTGGCTCCTGTGCAAGGAGGTCCTGGCTGGCTGCAGAGACAAGAAGGCCAGGAGCTGAGGCTGGGCAGGCCTTCTCCCCTTCCCCCCAGCCTGCCCCCGCCCCCGCCCCAGCAGGCGCTGGGCCTCCTGGCTCCCACAGGTGGCCTCCTTCAGGGAGCCTTGCCTGATTGCACCCTGCTTTCTCCCCACACTCCCTTCTTGCTCCTGCTTCCCATGGGCACTTTTGGTTCTGGCGTATTCTCTGCCACTTGACTCTGAGAACAAAATCGAGCTCTTTCGTTCAGCCTGGGGCTCCTCAGGAGTGGAAACAACCACATTCTTACCCCTTCTGAGGCCCCCTCCACGTCTGCTTCTCTCCAGGGAAATTCACTACCCCTCTCTAAGCCTCAGTTTCCCCACCTGCAAAAGGGGATCAGCAATGTCCAGCTCACTCACTCCCTGGGTGGGGCTCGCACAGGGGTTCCTGTGAATCCTAAATGAACGTGATCATATGTGTGAGCCCCCAGCCCCCGCCTGGCGCCCAGTCGTCTGGGCTCCAGTTGGACCCTCCAAGCTGCATCAGATCAGCACCACTTCCCCAGCCCCCACCCCCGAGTGCTGGCAGACACACCGGGACCTGCTCACTGGTTCTCCGGGAACCCACCACCCAGGCGGTGTCCACCACCCCAGCCTCTCTGAGAGACACTGCCTAGGGGACGGCTGCCCCTTCCCACCCCCACGAGGCAAGCACACCCAGGCATCAGACAGGCACAGGCACGGGATATTCTGAGCCTGGCTTTGTTCCCGTCAGCTGCTGGCCGCCATGCCAGCTTGGCGCGGGCGCAGGGGCTGATTTGATTTGGCAGCTTCAGAAGCGTGTGGTGGGGATGGGGAGGGGGAGGGGGATGAGACACCCATCCCTGCTAGGAAATAAACAGCCTCAGGCACTCAGCGAGCTGGGGGGGTGGGTCTGGGCTCCCTGCCTTGTGCCCCCCTCTTCTCATCCAGGTCCTGGATGCCTTCCCATGACTGCTGGAATCTGTGACTCTCCTTGGGTCACCACAGGGGTGAAAGTAGCTGCACCTGGTGTGTGGATGCTTATGGCGTGGCTGTGGCAGGGTGTCTGGTTGTCCCACATGTGTCCCTGTGTCCTGTGGGGTCTCCCTGCTCAGCCGTGCCTGCAGCTGGGCCTGAGCATCACCCAGGATGACTGGGTCTGTGTGCAGGGTGACGGTCTAGAGGTAGCCATCTCCCAGAGTGACTATGGCCACATGGCTGGGCCTCTACGGGGGACTGACTGCAGCCCAGGGCGTGACAAGGTGGCCCATGTGCCTGAGTCTACTGTAGGGCCTGCTGTGCACCAGCTCCGGCCTGTTCCTTCCCTCTGCGCGATGACCCCACTAATCCAGCCATGTCTGGCAGAGGAAATGACGAGGGCTGAGATAAGTACCTGAGCCCAGGGCCCAGCCCTTTTGTCCACAAGCCTGAGCGACGGTCCACCCACCACGCGGCCGGGGACAGCCACCTCCCTCTCCCCAGAGGAGGCAGTGCCAGTTTCACTCGACTCTCCAGCTGCCCCTCAGGCCCCTCCTCCTCTCCCTGGAGAGGCTCCTGCCCCTCACCCCCTGGTTCCCCATCACCCGACGTCAAGTGCAAGGATGGTGGACAGGATGGGGGAGCCTCAGCTGGTCCCTCACAGCGTCTTCACAATCCCAGCCCAGCCTCAGTGGGTACCACCCTCCTGCCCACCCCACAGTCAGAGCAGCCCAGTTCACCCCTCCCAGAGGCCCAGTTCACCCCTCCCAGCTACATTGCCCCATTAATATGCCGCTGGTGCCCTGGGGGTCTGGGGACTCCACAGCCTCCCGTTAGAGAACTGCTGCTGGGGGGTCAGGGGTTCTGATTCTCTGACCTCTGCACTGAGAGGTCAAGGGTGTGAGGTCAGACCAGGACCCTAGTCCTAAAGGGCCCACAGGCCAAAGTTGTGCCCCAGACACCAGCCAGGAGGTCAGGGTAGGGTGGAACCAGCTTTGGGGAAGACACAATGTCTCATCTGTCACTGCCTCCCCATTGTCCCACTGGCCTCTGGGGACCTCAGGGCTCTCCCCACCCAGTCACAGGAAGCTGAGCCTCTCCTGGAGACTTCTTCTGGAGACAGAAGGAGGGGACACTGAAAGAAGAGCTCCAGGACCAGGGGGAGACTCAGCCACGCCCTTGGGGTCACAGAGGAGAAACCTAGGCTCAGAGAACTCAGCTGTCACAAAGGGGCTGGTGGGGTGGAGACAGTCTGTAGAGAAGTCCTGGGGGGGCTCCCTGGAGGAGGTGTGTGGTGCCCCACAGAAGAGAACACTAGGTTTGAGGACAGCCTTCCACCTATGCGATACAGGTTTTCACCTGGGACTGGTATGTACTCATGCATGTAGTGGCATGTGTCTGTGTGTCCATGTGTGCATGGGTGCACATCCCAGTCATGGCGTCGGGAGCTCTGGTCTGTGTCCCAAAGGCAGGGTCTGCCTGAGGCATGGGTCAGCCAGGCAGCAGGCACAGTGACAGAGAAGAGAGCAGTCAGGGCAAAGAAGAGGAAGGGAAGACAGCTCAGGGCTGAGGAGAGAAGCCTGTCGGGTTGGTTTAACACAGTCAGGCCTCAAACCCTAGATGCCTGACACCAAGGGCAGTCTTCTTTTGTGACCCAGGCTGTGCCACTTCGGACAGGACCGTCCCCTCTCTGAGCTACTTTCTTCATCTGGAGAATAAAAGGGCTGGACTTGATGATCTCCTAGGGCCCTTCCAAGTCTAACAATCCTTTGAGAGAAACTGACACACAAAGACAGCCAGAGATGGAAACTTACAGGGATGAGGAGAGAGCCCGAGGAGAAGCGGAGATGAGAGTGAGGGAGGGGACAGTGGGAAGAAGGGAGTGGCAGAGTGAAGAGACAGGAGAACCCCAGGGAGGCCCACTGCGGGCTGGGCAGCGGGGGAGGGGTTCCCTGCTGGGGACCCTGTCCTCAGGGCCAAGACAGGATGTGGTAGACAATGGTGCCTTGTGGATGACAGGGAGCAGCTACTGCCACCCCACCTGCCTTCTGGCCTGTGGGAGGAGAAAGATGGAGGGGTGACAGACAAGGGCTCTGTCCCCCTAACTCAAGTCCTGCCTCCACACCTGCTCCCCAGGTGTTCCAAGGGAAAGGTGGAGCTGCGGCAATGGGGAGCCCCCAGGACTGGAGTCAGGAAGCCGGGTTCCAGGCCCTGCTGTGCTGTGGGATCTGAGCCAGCTCCCAGCACCGTCACCTGAGGTGTGAACCCACCAGGCTGGGACTCGTGCAGCAGGACTGAGTTTCTTAGGGACCCAGCAGAGCGGGCTCCCTAGAGGGCTGAGATCCTTCTCTCCCGCCTGGATGCTCCCTCCCTGACTGTGGGTGGTGTGGGTACTGAGGCATGTGCACAACCCAAGAGGCAGGAAGCCGCTGGACAAATGGGCCGGCATTGTACCGGGCTGGGCCGTGGGCCCGCGCCGCAGGGGAGCACCCATCGGTCATCAGCTCTCCAGGCTCCCCGGCCTGGGACCCCCCTTCCTTAAGCCCTTCTCACAGCCACCCCCAGGGCATGAGCAGGGTCCTTCCTCCTCAGCCTGTGCTCAAGGAGTGCTGACGGGTCACCAGCCGATGCCCACACTGCCCTTCTGGCTGCCCTGGCCTCTGCCCTAGTCTGAGGCCCTTTGTCCTCGGGGCCCTCCCAGGCAGGGGTTCGTGCACTTCCGTGTCTGTGTCCAGGAAGCGCTCATGTCCTGTTTTCCCCTCACGCCCGAGCTGCCCGGGAAGGCGGGGGAGCAGGCCTCTCCTTCCTTCACTGTCAACATTTCTGTCGAGACTTTAGGGGCTGTGAGGGAAGGGCACTCCTCTCTCTGCCATAGTCTGAAATGGGGGAGGAATGGAGGTAGGGGGATGGAGGGAATGACCCCTTACCCGGCAAGCTTAGGGAGTGGCAGATCTCACACGTGCACACACACCAATTCTGTTGTGGCAAGAGAGACAGCCTATTGACCCAGGTTGAGAGGGTCTCTCGTTCCCCACTAACGCCAGCCCAGCCCCTCCTCCCCTCCCTCACTGGGGGTGGGGGCTGCCCGCCATGCGAGCTGTCGCCATTTCTTCTTGTTATGTTTTTAATAACTGAACATCAACATTAACAAGGCAGGTGGTTGCAGCTCTTCCCAGCAGCCCCATTTAGAATCACTGAATCATCAAGTCATCAAATCCTAGAATCCTGGATTCACAGAATGTCTGCATCTTCAGCTCCTGGAGCCTCAGCATCTTAAAGTCACAGAATGTCGGAATCACACCGCCACACATCTGCACAGCCTGGCCAGGAGCTGAGAACATGGAAGGCTCGAACCCCACAAACTGAGAACGCTAATTCTCAGTTATCCATTCCTAGAGCTAGAGGTCATACACCCCTGGAGACATTGACCCCAACTTCCTCCTTACAGGTGAGAAATGCAGCCCAGAAAACGGCCTTGTGCAAGACTACCAGAGTGGGAGCCAAGCAAGGCCCAATCCCGAGACTGCAAAATGGGACCTCAACATTCTAGAGTCCCAGCAATGGTGCAACTTCTACATTTTGAAATATAGTCGTCCCCCGGTATCTGAAGGATTGGTTCCAGGACCCCCGCAAATACCAAAACCCACGGATGCTCAAGTCCCTTGAATAAAATGGCATAGTATTTGCATATAACCTACGCACATCCTCCCATATACTTTAAATCATCTCCAGATCACTTATAATACCAAATGCAATGTAAATGCTATGTAAATTGCTGTTATACTGTATTGTTTAGGGGATAAGAACAAGAAAAAAAGTCTATACAAGTTCAGTACAGACACAACCATTGTATGCCTTTTGAACCTCGGTTGGTTGAATCCACGGACGGGGAACCCAGGGATACAGAGGGCCGAAGGGCCAAGTGCGCTAGTATTTACGTTGGGGCGACGCCGCTCTTTCAGCTCTGCTCACTTCCCCTAACTCTCCCTCCAGGCCCTCCCCGACTCCTCCTGCTC